GTCTAACTCATTTTAATCCATTTGCCACATACTTATGTGATATCACGATTTCTAATCATGATCGAAATTACACAACCAATGTGCTGTTCGAACTGCATATTACAAATTTACAGATATTCCTTCCATTACGGGCTGGGTGGAATCCACCCAGCTCGTAACCACGAAAGTATCCATGAGAGTAATTATACTATGATTTTTGATAATGTAGGCACATCTTTACAAAATTTTGCAGGTTATTGGTAAACATTACAAGGTTTTCGTACACAAAATATCAAGTTTTTAAATTAAGTATTAAGATTTTCTCGTAAGCCTTTTTCTTTCAGAATGTTGACTATCTAACATGCAAAGCAATTTTGATTTTAAGATTAAAAATACTTTAATGCATTATAACATTTTCAAATTTCACATGCAAAATATTTATAATCTCCAGATAATTATCAATTTTTTTATAAATAAAATTGTATTTTATTTGTTATTTTCGCTACTGTATTTCTGTACGGGTTGGTTCTATTTCTGTTCCTCAATAAAATTAGGAAAAAATATAAATTATGTTTTTTCGTTCTAGAATGACTACAGATTTTAACACGAAAACACAAATGTTTAGTCTAAATAGCTTAAATCTCATAACATTATACATTTATATATATTTATTATTTTTATGATACTGACCTTCCAGCCGTGCCTGATTAACAGTACAGAAGTTACAATGACGCAGCGCACGTGTACTCGTGTTACCGTATCCAATAATAACTGACCTTTAGTCTCTACAAAGTGACCTGTCTTAGCTGTGTTACAGTGGACTAGTATTTTGTAAAATACAGTCACATTTCAACTATTATACATTATTATTATTTACAAATAGGTTCTTAAACTTATTTTTCTTAAAACATAGAACAGTAAATAAAGAAGTAAACCAAACAATTGTCTCATCTAGTTACGACCTGCCCCCCAGTGGCACAGCGGTATGTCTGCGGACTTACAACGCTAGAATTCGAGTTTCGATACCCGTGGTGGGCAGATCACATATAGCCCATTGTGTAGCTTTGTGCTTAATTACAAACAAACAAATTACGACCTTTGTACTCGATTGCCGCTTGTCGTAGGTTGCTAAGCCTTATGAAATTTCCCATGTGGAGGATGTGAAAAAAAAAAATTAAAGGTTTTATATATACATTTTAACTAACCAGAAAATCATAAATTACTCTATCGATACCATACAATTCCACTATAATTTATCAAGCGTAGTAACTAAGCTGTACTTGAGTCTAAAAAAACATGAAATTTAAAGCTCACTAAAGACTTACTATATCGTTTAAAATCTTGTGTGAAATGAAAACAATTTAACCCAAATTAACGTAAAAATGGCTGAGAAAACCATTAGGGAGACATTCTGAGCTTTCTATTGGTTATTCATGTCATATATATAGAAGTAATTATATATAAGGGACTGTTTCCAAATGAGGAGGGGGCACTATATTTGATTCAGTACATTTGTGATATCTTAGTAAATAGAAAATATAAGAGGTTTTTATTTTATATTATAGCTTGTCAATATCGATAGTTTGAGTTCTTAATTCGTACGAAACTGTAGATTTTGTATTTTGATATCACAGACATCTAATTTGAACCAGTGCTGCTTTTAACATACCACGTGACACTCCAAAATCAATGTTTAGCTGTGTTTTTTATATATTTACTTTAATAAATTAAGAAATTAACTAGCATATAATACTAAAATTTGAATTATAATTTACAATTTGATACCAAATGTATTGACATAAATTCATAAAATAGTAGTTGAATAAAATTTTGAATGCAAGTCAACGAACGCGATGACATGGCATTTGACACGTGACCTGTCTCGATAGGGTTATATAGAAACACAAAAAGAATCAAAAATTTGTTATACATACTTACTTTTATTCTACTTAGATTGATTTCTATAGTTCTTCAGTTCGTTTGTAGTAGAAAATAACAAACACTGTTCAGAATTTTGTGTAAATAAGTAGTGTAGTTGAATTGCTCTGAAATCATGTGAAACACATGAAGTGTCCTCTGAAAACACTTTCTCTTTGTTTGTTTGTTTACATTTATAATGCAAAGCTACACAATGTCCTAATTTTATAGTTAAAGATTAAAAGAAAGACGTTTAGTCAACAACGTCTACCGCCTGCTCTAGTCTGACCGAATAATAAGATTTACCATAGCCTCAAAGCACGTTTCTGCAACAACGGGACACGAGCCATGAAATCTCGGATTCATAGTCCGTTTACCTAAACCACTTTGCCACGCTCAGCCCCTTTAAACAATAAATGCTTTGATACACGCACACACTTGAGTGAAAGTACTCTTTCTATCAAAATGCATCATTTCCGATTTTATTCCGTCTGGAAAAAGTACAATTCGATATTATGTTAAAAATGCATAGCCATGTTTGAGGTTTTGCTAGTTATAGTCAGCATTATTAATAAATAAAACTAATTATTTTTATACATAATAGTAAGGTTGGTTAGGATTGAACACTTCCATGTTATATTACTGCAGTTACAGCCAAGCCTAAAGTTACAACATTAGTCTTAGGCTTTATACTGAAATCGTCAGGCATAACTTACTGTTGATTTTAGGTAATAGTATTCGTTTTAGGTTGTAGTATATGATATTAAAATAACTATATATTAGACTGAAATTGAATAATTATCACAGTTGTTGGCTAAGTGAGAAAGATTATTCATTAATATTAAGGGCTGAAATTATTGTTCATATCATTATAGATGGTAGTTGCCGATAATTTAATGTATAAGCAAATTACCTATGGAGCAGCATGGTTCATTGATTTCATGCTTTGGACTTGTCGTTGGATGATTGCGAGTTTGGGGCTTGTTCGCGTCAAGTTGTTTTGTCCTTCAGCAAAAAACTTTACCCCACTTCTTTCAGTTTACCCAGCTGTTTGATGGGTACTAACTATTAGCAGGGGGTTAACCTGCGATAGACTGGCATCCCATCCAGTGGGAATCTCTCACCATTCTCATCAGCTTGTGCCAATTTAACTGGAGTTCAGCATGGGATCCTATGTGCCATCTTGACATGGGAGGGATTTAACTTAAATTATCTATATTAACAATTACGCTTAGTTACGTGTATCTAGGGCTGTGGGGGTAAATCGGAGATTCAATACGAGTAATTCTTAGTATCAGTATTGGTTAACAGGGGATCTTAGTTTTAGAATTATCTACTATTTAATCTATAAACTGTGAAATAACCTAATTTTGGGTAAATACACAACTATTGAGAATATAAATTGGCAGTTCTAATATAGAACATAATTTACTAACATTTCATTATGGTTAGAAGTAGTTCAGGGACAAGTTGAGTGAAATTTATAGGATGCGGTAGATGCCAAAATTAGTTTGATTTTGAGGAAAGTGAGTTTGAGTACGAGTCTCATGGGGCACATCAGGATATAGTATACTATGCTTGCAGAGCTTGCTTTCATGAGGATAATTTGAGATAGCTTTGAGGAACATTACGGTATTAGAAGGTGGAAATAACATATTAGGAACAAAATTCGAGGAAGTACGGCAGAAAATTAATAGAATCAGGTTACTTTTTGAGAATAACGAGAACAAGAGTGCTAGGTTTACAAGGATAGACAGCAGTAAAAAATGTTAGGACTATAAGAGTAGGTTCAGTTAGCATTCAGGTGTCAAACTTTAATCGATTTGAACCTTTGACTGCAGTGAAGTACGAGATGATCAAGAGGTTTACATAGTGTGCTAAGCGTGCTATTCTCTCTTACATTATACTGATGTTATTTGTAATGGGGAGCATAGATAAACTAGGAGAGGAATTTGCTTGCCAAGTGTTAAAGTACAATACATTATATGTCGTGTTGACAGTTCAGTTTCTGATACGAAGGGGATTTTGTAGTGCATATAAGAAAGAAATGTTTTCAATACTACAAATCAGAAGAGTTATTTTATAAGGTCATCCTCCCGTGGGTTAGCATAATGTTTATATACTTGACAAGCCTAAAATCCAGGGTTTGAATGTCCAAATTAAACAGGGAACAGATAGTCCATTGTGTACCTTTTCATTAAAATCACCAACAATGGCTTAAAAAAGTATTAAAATGTCCTTCAGAAGCTTCTAAATAGAAATAAATGCATGATTCTTTCTGGAGTTCACCCTCTGGC